TGTATGTCATCACAACCCAAGCTATCGGAAACATATCCGACTTACTAGCATCCCCACATTCACCAACTCGAAGCTCACGATATACACTGGTGTTTATCCACATTGACTACTAGGAGTTTTCCTCGAAGTGAACTGGAACGCCTCTCATCAGTTGGGAGTATCGCACCAGGCGCAAGGCCACCAAATTCCCAACATCCTCACAACGCTAATAGCTCGACAATGGCTACATCAAAAACTGATGCTGGGCTGCCACCATTACCTCTGCCTGAAGGTGTTTCGGAAAACTACGTACACTGTCCCTCGAATGGCCTCACGTTCCACATACTCGAAGCTGGATACACATCACAACGCGATAGGCCTCTCATCATCCTCTGCCATGGATTCCCAGAGCTGGCATTCTCCTGGCGAAAGATTATGCCTGCAATTGCAAAGGCGGGATTTTACGTTGTAGCCTTTGACCAACGAGGCTATGGTCGCACTACGGGATGGGACGCTTCACCGTTTGGGAAGACCGATATGTCGCAATTCAGCCTGACGAACGTTGGGCGCGATGTTGTTACCTTGGTCCACGCACTGGGTTACCGTGAGGTCAAGTGCATTGTGGGGCACGATTTTGGAGCAGTGACGTCTAGCATGAGCGCACTCATGCGTCCAGATCTTTTTCGGAGTGTTGTCATGATGAGCCATCCCTTCAAGGCACCTGGGGCTCTTCCGTTCAATATAGCTCATGGCGACGGCGAAATTCCCTCCCCACCGGTCGATATACAGGCAGCGCTCGCCAAGTTACCCAATCCCAGGAAGCATTATAAGTGGTACAACAGCACCACAACAGCAGGGCGCGATTGGTCGTCGCCTGCGCAAGGTCTTCGGGACTTCCTGCGAGGTTATCTACACGTCAAATCGGCAGATTGGAAGCAGAACCAGCCCTACGCGCTGAAAGAATGGAACGCAGAGGAGCTCGCTAAGATGCCATACTACTACATCATGCCACTCAACCGAACAATGCCAGAAACCATCGCCGACATGATGGCTACCGAGGATGCCTCCATCACCAAGCGCTGGATGTCAGATGCAGACTTGGATGTCTACGTGCAAGAATGGTCGAGAACGGGCTTCCAGGGCGGGCTGAATTTCTACAGGACGACCACGAACCACGCCAATCGGGACCTGGACTTGTTCGCGGGCAAGAAGATTGAATGCCCCAGTACGTTCATCTCTGGGGCGCAAGACTGGGGCAATTATCAGCAACCTGGAGCCATCGAAGCATATCCAAAGTCATGTTCTGAATTTGGAGGCATCAAGTTCATTGAGGGTGCGGGTCACTGGCCACAGCAAGAGCAGCCCGAGAAGGTCGTCGAGGAGATTCTACAGTTCCTGCGAGGGCTCTGAACTCCATCGTTACACTTGAGGCATCCAGCAGGTGATTGTCTGACAAACGCTACAGTTTCTTCGCCAGTGAAAGGTCTCTACGCAAACACCAACTGTAAGTTTACGCCCGCTACTCGAGCTTGGGTAGCCCGCGGACATACCCGCGCTCAGTGAAACGATGAAACAGCCATCGTCGCTACTTGATCGCCCCCGACTACTTGTTACCTGCGACATCGATGTTTAGCGATTCGTAACCTGCAACAAATAGTTGCAACCATTGTTTATTCGCCACTCAATCACTACCGTCTGTCTTCCAGCTTTGTCGACTCATCACGAACGCCAGTACCTGATACATTAGTGGCACTGCTCAATGCGATACAGACAAATGAGCTATGCTAATTACATCATCTGTGTCGCAAGTGAATATGTACTTCAAAGCGTGCCGGAACTTTCTACAGCTCGCGTATGCAATAGCCGCCTCGCCCGCTCGAGTCCTGGTGTCTGGATCTGCCTAACAATTCACGACGGAGAGCGGCACATGTTTCGGCGAAGTATTCTCTCTGCCCAGCTGCAACGGACTGCCATTTGTTACGCTGACTACATCTGCCAAAAATATGATCGCACAGTCGTTTCAGATCCGATCTTTTTCGAGCAGCATAGTGCTCAAGGTAAGACCTTCGAGTAAGCACGATCTGCACAAATGCGGCGTGCGGCGTGAGCTTACGTCTCTATGTACCCCTGGCGACTACGCGGCTGGGTGAATTAAGCGAGATGTTTGGCTGTGGTTCAGAATAACTCGCAGCAATAATACCCGACCCATCGTATGCGAGCCAACAATACTCCAACAGCATGCGCTGTCCAAGTATAACTGACGCCTTGAATCAGGAGCCCGAATCAATCATGGCACGGAGGAAGAGTAAGGGTTTGCGGACGATAGGAACGAAAACTGCAAGGCACGCCTAAGTCCAGCAGCCAGTGATACACGATGTCGATGATTGCAACTGCTCAATGAGGTACCTTCCCCTGCATCCCGAATAGTGATAGAGACTATATTCGTCTCACTGTGTGGTAACCCGGAATTGCTAACACAAGTTGCAATGCCGGACATTGTATAAATCACTGGCAATGGGAAAACATTTCGCTCTCACAATGCACAGTCTTTTCACTTCTTGAGCAATGGCGTCGAATCCTACCGAGGCTTCTACTCGGCCTCAAGTGTGGTCTTTCACAGCCTCCCTACGTCATTTATGGCAACATAGCTTAGCTCTTCCTTCTCGTCGCCATCACTCGATGTCTCCCCGCACACCCACTAGACTGTACAGCACGCGACGTTATTACTCACAACCCAACAACTCAATGCGACCATGTTCCGAATCTAGCAAAACCCCGACCGTCTCGATCGGCTCGCTCGACAAGTCTGTAACTACCTACACCGAATCGAGCGGTCTTGGGACTTGCTCGCCTGTCAAACATGAAGTCAAAGCCCAGTCCCCAAGACCTCGCACAGACTCACACCAGAGCGAGTCTTCGTACTTCCCACGCGCTTCTGATGGCGTCGCATACCACCAGAAGACGAAGGAAACGGGTCTATCGCCAATTGCCGATAGCGACGTAGAGGTGTTGGCGAGTGATGCTACGGAGAAGGAAAAGACGGAGTCATCAGGGAAACCCAACAAGAATATCACGCCATACACGCGCGGCCCGCAACGGCTGAAACATCAGACGGGCGTTCTATGTCAATTCTGTTTGCATTGGCTTACGGCATACCGAATTCTCATAACATTGACCATTTTGATCAATGCCGTCGTTCTGGTCCTTCTGATCACGCTTCAGCTATCGCTCAAGGACGTCCTTGTTGCCACCGCTGCCAACCTCCTGGCATCAGTCTTGGCCCGTCAAGAGGACCTTATCAACTTGAGCTTCGGCCTAGTCGCCAAGGTACCGTCGAGTCTGCCGCTAGGATTCAGAAAAGTCATCGCTGACTTCCACCACTATGGCGGTGTCCATATCGGTACGGCAATCTCGGCTATGATGTGGTACGTCCTATTCCTTGGGCTCAATACACATCGAAGCATTACTCTTTCCAGAGAACGATTAATGACACGGTGGAATTGGGTGGACATCACCACATGCTACGCCTTCCTCGCCTTCATCCTGCTCATATGCATCACTTCGATCCCACGGCTCCGTGAACGATTTCACAATCATTTCGAACGGACACACCGCTTCGCTGGCTGGGCCTCGCTCATTGTGCTTTGGATTAATTCCGGCATCAGCACCATTGTCGACCCAAACCATACGCCACTCTACAAGAGCCGATCTACATGGCTTCTCGCAACAGCTACGTTCTTCATCATACTCCCATGGCTGCGTATCCGCCGCGTTCCCATCCGCGCCCAAGCCATCTCAAGCCGCGAAGTCAAACTGACCTTCCCATACACCAACATGCCATACACCTCCACCTCACGCTTCAGCCTGAGCCCACTCATAGAATGGCATGCCTTCGCCACCATCCCTTCCCACGACGGTTTCAGCGCAGACATCATCATATCCGCAGCAGGCGATTGGACGAAAAAGGTTATCGCCCATCCACCTTCACAACTATGGATGCGCCAGCCCGCCGCCGCTAACTTCCTGGCTTTCACACCACTATTCAATTCCGTCCTCCTCGTTGCAACAGGCGCAGGCATCGGGCCTATGCTCTCCCTGCTTGCCTCACCAGCTATCAAGGCCATGCTTGCAGAAGGCAAGAAAGTGCGCATCATGTGGTGCGTGTACGGTCCTCACGCAGCGCATTGGAAGTTTGTTCTAGATGCGATCAAGGCTGTAGATCTGTATCCGAAGATTTTCGATAGCAAGGTTGTGAGACCGGATGTTGCGTTTGAAGCGCGGTATCTGGCGCATGTGAATGATGTCGAGGCTGTTATGGTGGTGAGCAATAAGAAGGTTACAAATGAGGTTGTGAGCGAGGTCAATGCGCATGGGCGTGCGGCGTATGGTGCTGTGTTTGATTCGTAGTGTATGATTTGATTAGAGCGATGGCCTGCTGGGAGGCAGGGTGGTTATTTTTGTCATTGTGTTAATGCATTTTCAGTCGCAGGCGACGTGGGCACGGTCATATCTTCTACTCTGTGTTTGCTTTATGCTCAGGTCAGCAATAGCTTCTGTTTCAAGACTCAGAGGTTGTCAAGATAAATTTGGCGGTTGACGTTGTAGACCTAGGTTAGGGGCAGCGTATAATTAGAGATATCCTTGTTCAATATTGCAGTCTACATATACATGCAGGTTACACGGTGATCGTGCTCGCATTGATTTAGCTACTGCCCGCGCCGTGAGCTGTGCCGTGTGAAATGGCGCGGCCTCGTTATAACTGTTTGATATCACCTTATTATGACACTCCAGTGCAACGAGAATATGTTCCTATCTTCGTGACCAGCACCGCACGCAAATAGGGCACTCAACTCTCCCATGCACGACTAGTGCATGAGCGCTGCTTTATATAGAGCTAGCAACGCAATATTCGTCATCACAACACGACATATGTACCTCCCCTCGTGATGAACTTGCTGGAGCACCGCAAAAAGAGGGAATAGGTTCTGCGTGAGTGTAATCAAAAAGACAAAAAGAAACGTTGGACGACTGGAGGATTGAACTCCAGGCCTCCTGCATACCACATAATGTGCAAAGCAGGCGCTCTACCACTGAGCTAGACGCCCGTTGAAATGATGACGAGGAGAAGAATTTGTCACAATGTATGGCGGAATGATCAAATTGGAGGGTCTAGTCGCTTTTGATATTATGTGAAACTGCAAGAGCGTCTCGTCCACGCTTGGTGAAGGCAAAGTACGCAACTTCCTTGCTGAGCGAAGCGCAGATGAACAGCACCAGGACTTGACAACACACAACCAATATATAGAGACGAGCATGCGAGAATGGAACAAATGATATACATTATAAAATTACGAGCGAGAATATGCTAACATTGCGCAGCCTGCACTTTCGATTTCCCACTCTTCCGCGTCACTGATGCTCACAACTTTTTAAGCAGAAACCTCAACAATCGCCGGTCCAGCGACAATAGTATCATCAGTCGCAGCAGTGTTGCACGATGTAAGAACAACATAGCTTTGTCCCGCAATACCCTTGGGCACAACAACTGCATACCCACCATCAACAGCCTTCGCATCGACAAAGACAGGTCCAGTAACAGTAATGAAAGCAGCATAGACCTCACCGCCTTGGATCTTGTAGCCCTTGGTAGCCAGTGTAACGGTGCTACCCACCTTGATCGGGCTGTCCTTGGAGCTAGCGGTGAGAGCGGGGAATGCCTTGACTGGCAGAGGCGGGTTGGTGGAGGGGCAGCTGGTGATGAACTGTGCGGCGAGGGTGTAGACCTCGTTGAACGACAGTGGGTTGTCGAACGGAGCAGGGAATGGTTCCTGGCCAATGGTGTCACGGACGTAGGCGGAGTGACGTGCCTCGACAGTAAGGATAGATCCAGCGGCTGTCAAGTATGTCTTGGACATGATATCAGCTGCAGCGCCGAGGTATGCTGAGACACCAACGCCCTCGAGGACCGACGCGGTGGCCAAGAAGGATTTGACGTCTGTGTAGCCGAAATTGTATGTGCATGCAGCGACGGGCTTTGCGCCAGCGGCGGTCAGAGCGCCGGAGATGAAGGAGACGTGTTGGGCCTCGTCGCTCGAGACCGTCTTGATGCGGTTGTATGTCTCCTCGTCGAAGCCGGCAGACTTGAAGTCGTTGACGGAGTACTTGGCGAGCGCATCCCGGTAGAAGGTGTCCTCGAGGTGCTCCAGGGTGAGGGCATAGTTGAGGATGTCAGCGTCTGAAGGGCCGGAGGCCTGGCGCTTGGTGGGTGCGGCGGAGGTGAGGGCTGCAAGAGCAGAGAGAGCGAAGATGGTAGACTTCATTGTGATGAGATTTTAGATGGGATAGTATGACCTGGTAAATGGTGGGTATGAGATGAGAGGCTATGGTGATGAAGGGTAAGGAATACGACTTGAGCAGTCTTATACAACTTTCCTTCAACTCTCCAGAAGTGCTATCCCTCTTCCTCTTCTCTCCCGCGCACATCATCATCTCTCTATTACACATCCACTCCCTTCCCAATTGGCTTCCTACAACCTAGCGCACTACTAGAAACGGACCCTTCACCATCCGAAAGGTGAAAGGAGAAGTCCGCCATCACTTCTCCGCGTGCAGCTACCTACTCCAGCCCAATATAGCCATTTGTCAACGTTTAAGGTCTATTAGACGTTGGACCCCGTCCCAAAACGGTGTTGATGATCAGAATGTAGACTAACCCCACAATGTGTCACCGACGTGCTACCACGGAATCTTCACCATCCGGAACGGCGCTAGCGGTTAAGCTTAACATGACGTCAGGAAACTCGCTTGTATCTGGGTTAAATCGTTTCATGGGAGGAAACTAGCCAATTGCAAATTGCCTTTGTTTGCACGCAGTACCTGTCAAGCTTTGTGGCGTCGATGAAATGGCCGAATTGGTGTGAAAGTGTTCTGGAAGGGTCAGGTTCCGGGTGGCGCAGATCGTGGTTGGGTAATCGTGAAGTTTTTGAGATGGAGCGGGACGAATGAAGTCGATGTTGTTTTGCTCGGTGAAATGGACCGTGATGCGCGCAATGACTTCTTTGTTGGGCCCTTTTGCTTGTGCGTGCCGTCCGCATTCGGCATGCGCATCATCCAGGAGTTTCTGCAAAATTGGAGATCAGTAAATACTGAAGCCATGAGACATCGTCCAGTCTATCGCAATGGAAGTCGTTGAAGGTTCTTGTATAGACTTCTTCCTCGAACAATACGCTCGGTAACTGCTCGCTGCTGCAAGTAGACACTGAGAGGAACGATACTTCACCTTGAAAAGCTCTCCCTTACTGACCCAGCGTACACGGAACTTACCGCACAAAGACCTCCAGGCTCACTACCGCCCACTTTCGTTCGGCATCAGCCTCATCCGGCCTTCAGACGGCCCGTACAAGAACGTGACCATGACTTCACGGGAAGAGCACTCCCGTGTCGTCGACAACTGCCCTGTTCTGATTCAATAGTTGCCTTCATTTTGATTGCACACGGCTTGTGGGTGTCCAGATGGACCACGGCGGCGAACAAAGACGGCTGTTTTGGGTAATGATGCCGACTCGTGTGGCACGCACTGACCTTGACTGGAACATGAAGATTTGGGTATAAGCTGGGTGTCGCATGTTTCGTTCACTGCTTCATAACTTGAGGACTCTGTTAGATCAACATACCTTAACATATACCGATTGCAGGCCTTTCTGACCCTGGACGCCGCCTCTCACACGCAAAGCCAGTACTTCTCACCGGCTTCACAATGAAGTTCGCACTTTCAACGACTCTCTTCGTTCTCGCTAGCACGGCTGCGGCGTAAGTCATCCTCACTACCCCAACTTATCCCCTTGAGATCTAACCCAAGCAGTCAATCCAACTCTTCTGCAGCACCAACATCAACCATCAACGTCACACCCGGCTGCCCCTCCGCACCCGCCGCCGATGTAATGGTCACGCGCTCTGTCGTCGCCGTACCCTCTTGCGCAGCAGGAAACAGCACCAAGCCTGCCATCGTCAGCGTGTCACTGGCAAGCGGAAACAGCAGTTCGGGCTCGACGGCAACGGGAACAGGATCGCCAGCGCAATTTACTGGTGCTGCGACAAGATTTGAAGGAGGTTTGATGGTGGCGCTCGGCGGTGCGATGTTGGCTTTGGTTCTGTAAGGTCTGCGTCGATGGGAGGCATAGGCTTGGCGTTGTGGAAGGTATCGATGAAGTTGTGGGCCGTTTGTAGCATTCGAGTAGGAATATGCATAATTTGTTTGGAATAGAGCTTCCGTAATTAGTAATATGCTTTGAGCAAATGAGTCGAGACTGGCTTCGAGTGAATGGTACAAAGGACGAGTTTCAGCGTCCCTAGGTCGGTGCGTACTCGATTGGTAGCGAAATGAAGACATCGCCAATGTCGAAGTATAAATGAGTTCTTCATAATCGTGATGACGCCGCCGTCATGACCTGCGAACCACGGTTCATTTTGGCACTTGCACGCCTGGAACGATGCACCTAGTCATTCGTGTCAGCTCTGATTACTTCAGGGCTTCTTACACATGGTGCTCAGACTGCATCTTGTGCACCAAGCGCCCTGGATACCCGTCAACCACAGCATATGTTCGACTCGCCGGGGAGTCGGTACATTTTCGAGAGCGGACAAAAGGGCGCCGCGGCTGAAGGATGTATCTTTCGCATTCATATTCACAGCCCTTTCTGGGAGCCTATCTACAATGTCATCGCTAACAGATGACGCTACGTCGTCGGGCAGCGCTGCTATGCTCAAGCATGCCACCCAAGTCCTATATCACGTACCGACCTAGACTTTCCAATATCTTATACACATCCAGAATATCCCTGTCGCAATAACGAATACACAAGGCCATATGCGGAGCGCCTGAAACTCGCAATGCGCCCGCAGGACCAGCCGAATCCACCCATGCACATGTGTACGTTCTACAAACTCGAAAAGATCAACCGTGCAACCCCAAAAGATGGGTCCAAGATCGTGCAAAATGGTACGCCGTAAAACGCCGTCGTCATGCAAAAGTCGTGCTCAAATCAACATGTATGCGCGCTCGCTTGCTCAGAAAGATGGTAATGTCTGGCCAGCACAATCGGGAATCTTCAGGCCGGGTTTGATGTTGCGGTCAATGTCCATAAGACCCCACTTGTCTTCCCAGGCCTTGCCGGCCGTGTTGTAGCGGACCTTCCACGGCTCGTCGAATGCGGAGAACCTAGAAAGTCGTTAGTATGATGAGAATCACTCCACGTTCGTTGATAGGACTCACCAAAAGTACTCTGTGTTGTTCTTCATGCTTGGACATATCCAGTCCTCCATAAACTGATTCATCTCGTCAATGCCGGCGACTGATCCCTTAGTGCACGATGTCGCAGCACCACAGCTCGTGCCGCCACCTGATGGCCACCCAACCTCGGCAATGACTTGCTTGATACTGGCGTTGCTTGCGGTGAGCTGAACATCGTGCTGCTGCCAGAAGTCCCAGGTCCATCCAGCAGCCACGGAAACATCGACACCAGCGAAGAACGGATGCACGTTTGACATGACATAATCAACTTTTGTCGCCATGTCGGCAGTCCAGTTGTCACCGAGATCTGCCATGGCGACAGGTAAGTTGCACTTGTGATCGGTGATGTTCTTCTTGAAATCTGTAACATGGCCTAGGAGCTGTGTAGCAGTCAAGTCTTTCCGGTACAGAACTTCATTACCGATGATGATGCCCTTGAAGTAGTCGCAGCCGTAATCATCGAGAATAGTCCATGTTTGATCGATTTGTCGTTGCGTGGTTGTATCGTTGCTGTCGAGCCAAACGCCCAGCCAAATCTTCACAGTGTCCTTGATCTCCAAGCGGTCGATGGCGTGGATAAGCATCTGCGTCTGATTGCAGTCAGTTCCGTAGAGGCGGACGGCGTTGGTCAGCTGCGACATGACGGCCATGTCTCGGGTAATGTTGTTCTGCGAAGGGCCAACGTGGAGGCAGTCGGGGTACTGGCTGTTGAGGGGGGTGTAGTCCATGCCGGGGAATACCCTGTGCAGGTTGGCGTTGTTCATCAGCTTCTTGATCTCATCAGAACTCTTGCTGAGGTCGTCTTTGTTGTCATCA